GCCCGGCCCCGCCGGCTCCGCGGGCCCGGCCGCCTCTCCTCTCCGTACCAAGCGGGACGGGGCGCTAGAACTCTCTGGAAGAAAAGTCGCCCCGCGCAATAAATCCACGGGGCGCGGAAAGCGGAGGCCGACGGCTTGGGATGGCCGCGTTCCGACACCCCGAGAACCCCCCGATCCGCGATGAGTAAAGGGCAATGGAGAAGACGGAAGAGGAAGGGAGAGAGAGAGAGAGAGAGAGAGAGAGAGAGGTGGAGAAAATCGGGGGAGGAGAGAGAAAAGGGGAGGGAGAGAGAAAGAGAGAGGGAGAGCGAGCGAGCGAGCGAGCGAGCGCGGTGGAGGTATTGGCGAGGGCCGGCGCGGCGACGGCCGCTCTGCGGGCAGGGGCGCGCGTGGTGGAAGGCAGGATTTTGTTTAAGTCTGGACGGAGGTTGAACTTTAACAGAAATGGCCGCAGTCCGGCCGGTTGCACGGGTTCTGCCAAGAGCCAAAAAGGTTCCCTGTGGCCCCTGGCCTGGCTTGGAAAGGAGAAGTGCGGTGTTTCTTGAAGATGGATTGCGTAGAGTGTAAATCGAGGTAAAGAAAAAAAAAGAAAGAACGAGAGAGAGGAAGAAAGCAGAGAGACGGAAGAAAGGAAAGAAAGAGAAGGTAGGAGGAACGGAAAGAAGAAAAGAAAAAGGAGGGGAAAGAAGGAAGAAAAGAAAGGAAAGAGAAGGAAGGAACGGAAGAAAAGGAGGGGAAGGAAGGCAAAAGAAAAAGGAAGGAGAAGGAGGGAAAGAGAAAGAGGAGGAAAGGAAGGAAGAAGGGAGGAAAGGAAGGAAAGAGAAAAAGAAGGAGGGAGAGAAAGGAGGAAGGAAGGAGGGAAAGGAGAGAAAAAGAGGGAAGGAAGGAGGGTAGGAGGGGAAGGAGGGAAGGAAGGAGGAAGGCAGGAAGAAGGGAAAGTGGGAAGGAAGGGAAGAAGGAAGGAAGGAGAGAGGGAAGGAAGGAGGAAGGGAGAGAGGAAAGGAGGGAAGGAAGGAAGGAAGGAGGGAGGGAAGGTAGGAGGGAGGGAAGGAAGGAGGAAGGGAGAGAGGGAAGGAAGGAGGGAAGGAAGGAAGGAAA